GTTTGATCCAAATAAAGGTATTCTTTTGTCCGATATGTGTTGGCATCAGTGATCGGTGTCCTCTCTCTGTCTGTGAAAATTTAGTGCGTGCACCCAGATCATGTTTCTTTGGCCGATTTTCAGAACTCTTTTTTTTTTTTTTGTGTAGGCATAACACGTCCATCTTTGGACATATCGGTACCGTTCCAATGCTATTTAGGATTTTCGCATGTACTGAACATTTTGCAACCGGAAAAAATTGGCATTACCATCTGACATTTTCAAATTTCTGTAATTACAACCGTAACCGTGAGTACCCCTGTGTTGCCATTCATAGAATCTCTGCATGCCTCCGAATAACTATATTTATAATCTCTTCTTAACTGGTTAACTGAAACAGATGCTAGAACTGCAGATGTTGGCAAAGTTTCTTTATGTACCACCCTGTATATGTGTGATATTTTAATGCGTAGAAGAAACCCGGTACTTTTTATTTCTGGCAGTTGAAGAGATTTTACTGCGTAGTTAGAAAGATGGATGCATAAACCAAAAACTTTTGGACATGACTATTTGAAAACATGATTTTATTTAATGATAATGCACATTAAAGCAGTCTTTTGTATACAAAATAGTTCTAGATCGTAGTTCGCTACAATAATAATTATGTTCATGTGTTTTAAAGCCAAGAACAATAGAGCATAGAAGTGCATGGCAGGAGAAGTTAAGAAGAAAAAGTGACATAATTGTTAGCAAAGCATTATTTATACCAGGCAGGTGCATATATACATCTCAGTTGTGATTGGTTAATTTTAGGTTTTAGCTCCCATTGCCAGCAGTGTTATGTAATTTGGAAAGATCTTGAATTTGGGAGAAAAGATGAACTTAGAGAGAGAATATAAAATTTAGAATAGTTAATTTTGAGATCACCAATCATTTCTTAGCTCAGCCATCATATTTTATTATGTGTTACGTATATAAATATAATATGGTAATAAATAGATGTTGATACGCAAAGATGGTAGAAGTCACTGGGACAAATTAGTAATTTCTTTTATTGCTGACATATACTGTACAAAGTCCAAGATTCAGACTCATCAGTACTTTGCCTATTCTGATTTGGGATTTTTTTGAATATTAGATCATGAGTTTAAATCTAGTAAGATAACATGTAGAAATTATAAAATTAAAAATATGAAATAGGGATTTATGAAGTGATGAAGCATTTATGGCCTTAGGGAAATTAAAATTTACAAAACAAGATGCTCACTATTTATTTATTTATTTGCTTTATTAATATTTCTTCCTATGTAAGTTGTTTAATTTTTTGTGCTAATTCTTGCTCTTAAATTCCATAGATATATAATTTCTTGTTCAGTTATAAAGTTATACTTTTCAAGTCCCGTAATTGTCATGTGGAGGTTTCTCACTGAATCGTCAACAGAAATTTTCATTCTCAGCAACCTCCCTGTCACTGATGATAGCAGTATTTTCTGGATTTAAAATCATATTACAGATTTCACCAATATGAATCACCATATGACAGTTTTCAACATGATTGGGGCTTTATCATAGCAATGAAAATCTTAGTCAGTTATACCATCTTCATTTATTACTACTTCTCCACATTTCTTGGCAAATTCTATTAGCTGGAAAATTTCACTTTGTTTATGATATCTAAAAATCTTCAAATTCGCAGTTATCATAATATAACTTGGCTAGCATCTGCTATACTATTTTTGATGTATCATGAAATGTGCAACTAAAGACATGTTTTTCCACTACATTTTATCTTCCTTCTACCGCATGCTGATGAAGTTAAACCTTAATCATGGCTGTATTCAGGAGGGAGCTGCAGCTCCTTCTGAAACTTTTTTTTCAGTTTATAAATAGATGCAATCACAAAACATTGGTTTTCGATAGGGAGGTGATTTCAGAGGGAGCTGCAGCTCCCTCTGAAACTTTTATTTCAGTTTATAAATAGATGCAATCACAAAAAATTGGTTTTCGATAAAACTCAATACCTCCCCCTCCAGTTAAATCCTTGGTACAATACTGAGTTGAATTATATTAGTTTAGTTATTTATTGTACTTACAGATATTTCCCATGCATGCTTAAGGCTTATCTGTGCCCTTGGATAAATAAATTCCTGCATATGCTTAAGGCACATCCGAGACCAGAGCTAGACATATTGCAGCTTGTTGCAGTCTCTGCGAGTCTGTACAATTGTTCAAAATATAAATAATTGCCGCAAAGCCAGATAAAATTCCATTAATTATTTTCAGTATATCATGTAGAGTATGAAATGATGTACTGAAAATAATCATAAGAATCATAAATGCATGGGAAATATTGCATGTTTTTCAGCTAGGTTTACCAAATTTTAATGTACCATGTGTACCAAATAAAAAAATCCAAAGTATTGAAAATACTGTCCTCAAAATCCAGTTATCCATCTCGGAAATAAAAGAGGAGGCAAAATAAAAAAGTAATGATTCAAATTTCATATACATTATTGTGTCTTTGAAAATCATCAGACTTTTAATTCTGTATCTTTTACAGTTAATGAGATAATGAAAATGCAAGTCCAATATTAATTGGCAGTTTAAGCTTTGAAGAACTTCGAAATTTTCAGCAGAAGAGTGACTCAAAAAATACACTTAAGTGCAGTGATAGTAGTAATAAAATATTAAATGGAATAATATTTCTATATATGTAGTTGAGATCATAAAATATATATACAGTATAAAGTCCAAAATCCGAAATTCCATTAATTATCCGGAATGATCTAAAATCCAGACCTCAAAACCACCAACGTTTTTTATCGTAGGCTTTACACATGTACGTTTGATTCCCCCCTCCGCCATCATCCATCATCCATTCCCCCCTTCCGCCATAAAACATCTGAAGAGTCCCAAATCTTAATTTCATTTCGACACTAAATAAAATACTTTGTTATTAAAGAAACAATTATTTTAGCATAAATTTGTACAATCAGTAATTTGGCTCTGTTGCTGCGTATCTGCTTGGCACACATCTCAAACCGAAACATTCCACATAGATACATCATTGATCTGATGCCAACCTGGCGAATCATTTATTATACTTTTCTTTCATCACTGTATGTTTATCAAAACATGACAACTTGAGTAATGGCTCATGTAGCAATGCCTAAACATTTTTTTTTTTTTTTTTGTTAGTAATCGAACAATAATGGAGTATAATAACCTTTTATGTTGACATTACGCTTGACGATGATTACAAATGCGCTAAAAAATGTTGAAGAAAAATTTACCAAAAATTTCTTTCCATATGCTAAAAATAGATTTTGTTGATGATACTCATAGACTCAAAGATTACATTTAGAATTATTTTAATTAAGAATAACTGATTTGTTATTAAGAATAACTGATTTAATTATTAAGAATAATGATTGTTTAATTAAGAATAACTGATTATAAACCCAGAACCAGCACCAGGGCTCGTATGGTCACACCGAATAGCAGAATTTAGGACCCACAGACCATCAGGCGGTAAGTTATTTAGTGCCGGCCCTCAATAAGGCTTAAGTATACATGGAAATTTTATTTATTTAGAGCTCTGATAAGCCTTAAGCATGTGCAAGAAATAGACATAAGTATAATAAATAACTAAACTAATACAGTTGAAGCTTAATTATCTCAGTGCGCGATAGAAGCAAGATAAAATTTAACCGAACAACTTGTCGTTAGTCGCCAAGTTCATGATGCATAGCCAAATATGTATGGTGAAGGATAACTAAAATCTATGAAGATAGTTGCTAATTTTAAAGGTTTTTGGATATCGGAAAACAAAGCTGAAATTTTACAATTAACGGATTTTGTAAAGAAATGTGGAGAAGCGGTAATAAATGAAGATAATATAAAAGAAGTTTTTCATTGTGATGATAATGCTTCTCAATAATCATCATTCAATGAATGAATGGCAAAATGTGTAGTATGGTTCTAGATCCAGAAAATACCACTGCCAATAGTGAAGAAAGTGACAAAGAAGTTGCTGAAAACGAGAAAATTTTGATTGGCGAATTAGTCGGGATTTTCGAAACAGCCTTTTTTTTAAAATTTTGATACCGTTTAGATCATAAATACTTCATTATTTCATAAATCAGAATTTTATATTTTTAATTTTATAATTTCTGCATGCCATCTTACTAGATTTAAACTGATGATCTAATATCCGGAAAAATCCCAAATCCGAAATCGCCAAAGTCCTAACAAGTCCGGAATTCAGACTTTGTACTGTATTAGGTACATTTCAGTATGAAAATCTTATTATTTTAGAAATAAATTTTGCATGACAGGGCAGGAAGATACTTTAATATAATGATAATCAGCCTATGAAGCTGTTATGTTAAGATGACATCATGGTCTTGGAAAAGGAGCTGTTCTTCTGATATCTTGTCTGAAAAATGAACAAGAAGTATGGATTGTGTGCAATCTAATCAAATGAATCAGTTTACAAGAAGTTTCGTTTAAGATCTCTGAAGGGGATTAACACCATATAGTGTACCATATCTAAAGGAATAGTCACATATGCACTGAATTAACTGTTGTTTAACACTGAACAACATATATTGTCCTAAATGTAGGTGCCATTCCTTATTGATGATCCATATTATTCATCCACTGGAGCCTCATCTCTGTGTGTAAGTTAAATGATTTTTCGGTACTTATTTGGTTATATGTGTGTATGGCTTGGTCATTTCTGAGCATAATGCTGCATTTACTGTATGAGGTAATGTTCACAAAGAAGTAGCTTTTCCTTTAAGTTGACTGAATTTCATTTTGTAGCAAAAGCATACTTTGAATTTTTTTGTGTGTTCTAAATGTATGTATTTATAAGTTCATGATGAATGTAAACTGTTTAGCTTACTTTTACATGCACATTATGCTTTAATGTAAAGTTTTAACTTTTTTTTGTATATTTGTTCTCTTTTTTTTTTTAATTGTGAAATTGTAATGTTTTTAATTTTTCATCTTTTTAGGGAAGAAAAATACAGTAGTCATTTTTTTCTTGGCTGAATGGTATTTTGCCATAAGCAGTAGAATGCTAGTGAAAAGAGATGTGTGCTCATGCATGTCATTTTCTAATGCCACTTAACGGAGGCAAGATACCTAGCTTCAAAGGAAGCTAAAATGGCTTCATTTAGCCAGGATGTCAGGACAAATACAGTTGTCTTGAATGCTCCTTTTCAGTCACCTTGCATGTCTGAAAATTTTTCTGGGACTGGTCCTTTGGACGTAAGGAACATTTCGAAAGCTCTACCTTGTACCAGTATCCCAAATGAGCAGACCAACACTCCTGGAGTAAATGTTGCTTGTTCTTCTGATTCTTGCACATTGAAGCCTTCATCCACATCTCATGTAAACAACATGTGTGCTCCAGCATCTATTGGAGGTGATCCTAATCAGGATCCAAGCAAAAAAATTGCTACCAGTTACAACTATCCATCATCTGCCATTCAGTCGGACACATTTCCATGTGATGGTAAAATATATCCTGCTGTCCATAAGTATCCTGTAGAAATGAATAATACTTCACATCCTCTAATTGCTGTGCAGCACAGTGAAACTTTTATAACTGTGCCTTTTGGATGGAAACGGGTGATATCAAGTGGCAAAGTTATCTATATTAGGTATGTCATTATTTATCCCAGTTCTCTGATTTGACCTTTTTAATGAATGTTTATTACAGGAAACATTCATTAAAAGTTTTTGTATAAAATAATTAGAAAAAGTTACCAAATAAGTACATTGAATTAAAATTTTATTTTATCTTTTTTTTTTTAAGTCTATGTTTCAAGTTGTGACATCTCATTAGCTCCTTTTTAACGTAACGAATTAGGAGATCGGCAATGTTATTTTTATAAGAAAACTGTATGAAAATTAATATTGAAATATTATTTTAATACTGTACTTAAATATATAACTCATAATTAAAAAAAAATTGGCAATTATCTTGAACCTGTACTTTTAATTATAATTAGTATTGTATTAGTAAGACTTCAAGCAAGTTTTGCATATCTGTATTCTGGGATTATTATATTTAAAATGACCAGTTTCTTCATTATTGTTAAGTTTTTGTAAAGGAAGGAAGAAGGGAAAAAAAAAAAAAAAAAAAAAAAAAAAAAAAATAGAATACAAGTTTATTTATGTATTAAATTTTACTGAATTTATTATATTCTATCAAGAAATTATGAAGAGTAAGATTTTGTCCAGTTTACCAAAATCAGATAGAGAAAATTTCAAACTATGTAATGTCTGCTAGAAAAGATTTTACCAGAATTATGCAGTGTTTATTCTGTAAAAATATACTGCCTTGACTACCAGAATTGTGAATTTTCCCTTCCATTTCAGCCCCAGTGAAATCTATCTTCATTCTCTACAAGAAGTTGCAGTTTATCTTCAGACTGAAGGCACCTGCAAATGTGGCCTTGAATGCCCATTGATACTGAAGAGAGTCTTTAATTTCAATCCTATGGCAACAACTAAATGCTGGAATGTAAATGATTTATCTTGGAATGATCCTACAAAACTTTGCAATCATAAAAGAAAAATTGTTGCTATGGCCACATTTCGCAATAGCACCATTCCTTTATCTTCTCTTGGGCCTACAAGAGAACCTAATCCCTTAGGAACACAACCTGCATCTAAAAAGGGTAAACTTTTAATTGTATATATTTTTCTTTTATGACTTATGTTTTATCAGTTCAATGGCAAACTATTTCTAATGTAGCTACTATTAAAAGAATGCATATGTATTAAAATTTTTGCAAATGTTTAATTTTTAACCCTTTAATTTGGCTAAGCTGTCTATTATGATGAAGAGATAATAAATGGAAAGGGTCTACTAGTCTTAAGTGGAATTACACACATCAAAATTGAAACGAAAACAATACTTTCTCTTCAATTCTGTAGACAGAAATAATTTCTTGTTCAGTTACAAAGTTCCACAGTTCAAGTTCTGTAGTTGATGCATCGAGAAATCTGATTAATTTGTCCATCAAAATTTTTTTGTTTTCAATAGCCCCTCATCACTTTCTTCACTATCAGTAACCGTATTTTCTGGATCTATAACCATACTACAGATTTTGCTATCCATTGTTGATGATTGGAGCATTGTCACCGCAATGAAAACTTCTGTTATATCATTTTTATTTGTTACCACTTCTACACATTTCTTTATAAAATTGGAAAATTTCACCTGCGGTTTGCGATATCTGAAAGCCTTCGATTTCGCAGCTATCATCTTCATTGTCCTCACCATGAAACATGGTGGCTGGCCGTAAATTATGCCAAGCACTTTTTAAAGCATTTGCAGGCACATCCTTCCACGATATTGCGATGCTCCACACAGCAGATTTTATGCTAAAATATTTAAAAAAATTCTTCAACAGTCTTGCCATTATTCAAGAAATTTAACTTTTTTTTTTTTTTTTTTTAAGTACTACTTTATATTTTCATTTCACATGCTGACTATTCTGATATGTGTAGGCTGAATGATGGACGTACAGTTTGGAAGAAATAATCACGTGTATGCATTATCTTTCATTAAAACTTTTACGTGAAATGTGAGACAAGCAGTTATCTACAATCAGAACAATTTTTGCATCATCAGGTAAACCAACCGAATTCAAATGTTGCCATGCCTCGGGTACAAAAGGATTTTCAAAGCAGTCATTAATAAACGCTTGTACTATCCTTGCTTTTTGATTTGTAGGATATATAACAGGAAAATCTGTACTCCTTTAAATGCTCGAGGTCGTGCATTATATATGATTACAAAAAGTTTACACTTGTGCTTTCCTTCAGCATTTTCATACGCTAAAATTGTTAGTGCAGCATTGAAATCTTTGACACCAGTTGGAGCCTTTTCTGTAAAGGTTGCGAAAGTATTTCATAGCACATATTGCCAGAAAAGACCAGTATCTCCAGTAAATTTGTCCTGGAGATAACGTTTTACTATTAATGAGTTAATTGAATTCATCTGCAAGTAGTTCAGCAGCCTCAGTATCAGCTAAACCTTTTTCACCTGAAATATTTAATTAATTTATACCATGGCAATTTTAAGATTTGATTAACCAATCTGTTGAATATATGCACTCAATTTGAAGAACACTTCTTCATGAAGTGGTTCGGTTGGAGCCATTAGCATTGGGCCTGTCAGTGGCATGCCTTCACTGCATATCCGTCTGACCATTCAATAATCACTTTGCCATGATTGTCACTTTTAGCATAGCAAATAATTTTTGTTATGCATTGCGAGTGGGGTGTTGATATCCGCAAAATATTCACAGAGCTCCTTTTTTTTGTTATGTCATATACGGTTTACTTTCCAGTGCCATACTACTTGCATAATTTTGAGACGGATATTCATGTATCCATTTTTTGCAACAATTCCACTTTTTGTTTAATGAACATCGAAATATACTTTCCCTTTGTAGACCCTGCTGCAGCTTCAGAATTAGAAATGTTTTTTGACATAATCGAAAGTTCAAATTTTAGGTTTCATAAAATTGCTGTAATAACAGTCTGCAAAAAATAATAAGCTGGATGAAATTAGAAGATTAACAAACAGTGCAATCTGCTATATTAACTGAAATTCTTTAGAATTAGTATATAATTTTAGCCTAGCTTACTTGTGTTCACTATACATTATTGGCTAGGTATCATGAGATTTGTGATGAAAGACTAGTTGTTCTGCTAAACTGTCATGCTTCTATCGCTTACTGAAACAATTAAGCCTGAATTTTAATAATTTAGTTATTAATTATACATACGTCTAATTCATGCACATGCTCAAGGCTTATCTGAATCCCGTATAAATAAATTCTCACATGTACTTAAGCTTACTGAAGGCTGGCGCTAGATATTTTGCTGTCTGATGCAGTCTGTGTGGGTCCTAAATTCTGCTAAGAAGCACTTCTCTGGCTGCAGAATTTGGGGAAGACAAAATTTTTGGAATTTAGAGAAGGTCCCGGTTCTGGGATTATGTGAATAAAAAATTAATTATTCTTAATTTTTAAAAGACTGAGGACTTTGGAAAGGTTTCACTTAAAAGGACGGGTAATCCAAATTCATTTCCACTCCCTTTTAGCTGCCAGTTGTAAAGAGAAATTATTATTGTTTTGAAATCTTTCCTTAAGGTCACCTTTGTCAGTTTTCAGATAAGGACCAGGGAATAATACAAAGTTCTGAAAAGGAATGTTTTCTCTTTTCTGCTGTCTCTATTTCCTAAACTATGGAAACATATGAAGGTGAGATTTCGTAGCTAAGTAATTGTTGAAGGTGGAATATTAACTTTTCACTTTGCATTGTAACAAAAATGCGCCTTAGCAGCAAATACCTCCTAGGTACCCCTAAAATCGGTACATAGTCTAATCAGTTTTCATTTTTTTTTTTCAAACTAAATATAGTTTAGAATTACAAGTACTGATTGACAGTTTTAATTTACACTCGAAAATGATGTTTAAGTATTTGTTCCTCATATAAATCAGCAACTCGCATTCACTTTGTTATGAAGATTGTCTAACAGCTTATATTTATATATTCAATAAATCCTCTTTTATTTTTGTGGTATTAGTTTCGTTTAGCTTTCCCATTTTCATTCAGTTTCAGTATAGAAAAAAATTGTTTAGGCGTTGCTGCATGAATCATTACTCAAGTTGTCATGTGTTGACAACATATGGTGATGAAAACAAAATAATAATAAATAATGATTCACCAGGTTGGCCATCAGGGATATAAAATATTAGTAGTTGTAAAATCAAGTATGTTTTTGTGTAGAATGCTTCTGTTTGAGATGTATGCCAAGCAGATACGAAGCCAAATGATTGATCACATAAATTTATGCTAAAATGATTGTTTCTTCAATAACCAGGTATTTTATTTAGTACCAAAGTGAAATTAAGAATCAGGATTCTCTACATGCTTTCTTATGGGGGAAGAATATAAAATGCACATGTGTAAAGCATTAAAAATTTTTTTGTTGGTGGCTTTAAGGTCCGGATTGTTTAGATCATTCCAGATAATGTACATCCAGATCTCGGACTTTGTACTGTATAATGTTTTCGAAGGAAATCCCAAAACTGTAAAAATAATATTATAGAAAGAATTTTCTAGTAAGAAACCAGAATAAGCATAGGATGAATGAAAAGCTATGTGCAGAATAAATTTTAAATAAGATTTCAAGCCAATAAAACCATTTCCAGTAATAACAAGATTTCTTTAACCCTAAAATTCTCAACTATAAGAAATTTAACATCTTAAAATTACACTTATTAATAATTAAATTCTTCTTAATTTTATTTACTCACTTCAATAATTATGAACTAGGTTATTTTAATTTTTCGTATTACTTACGATATTACTTACCAAATTTCGAGGTCTTTACTGGATGCGTAACTACTGGAAATTTGTAAGTAGTCCATCTCCGATACTAATAAGTGGCCATATCTATTTCATATACTTCATATATCATTATACTTTAAGTAGGTTGTAAATCCTTTTTACATACATTTAAAATTTTACTGTTAGTTAAATAATAAAAAATTAATAATTTTAAACTTTTCATTGTAGGTTTTTCCCCCTTATTAATTGTAGTGATGAAATGAAGAGAAATGAAAAGATATTCTAGAAGTCATTTTTAATTTTATGAATATGGTTTTGGGGGATTTAAAATAATTTAACCTCTAAAATACTGTCAATTTGGAATGAACTGAATCTTTTTCTTTTATAATGTAACCTAGGAAGTATTAAAGATGTATTTCAGACTAGGATTTTGTAAAATTAACATATTAAATGTTTTCTTTTCTAGTTACAATTTCTAGATATATCTTTAAAAAAAGTGTCTTGTCAGTTTATTCCTTTGTTTCATTGTCTAGCTTTTTAGGAACTTGTAAAGTATTTTTATATTTTCAGTTTGTGTATTTCTTTTTTTTCTTTTTTTATCTAGATGGTTGCCTTACAAGTAAAAGGAAGCGGCTGAAAGGAAAAAACAGAAGTCCTTTTGACAGTGTTCTTGTTTCACAGCTTTTGGCCCAGCGGGATAAATTAATTCTTGAAAAAGATAAATCAGACATTTCAAAGAGTGGTTTTGTTCAAGGACCCAGTCAACATATGAAAATCCAAAGTATTTCCATGCATAAATCTGAAGCTCCTACTGGTATGCTTCACCCTAGATATCCTGTGGTTGAGCAAAGGAAAAATTCTCCTAAGTCAATGGGATTTGTTCCTTTAGAAGAACAAAGTGTGCCTGTTCTTAATAATAAACTAAACAATGCTGCCAATTTCAGTACTTTGCACATGAACCAAAATTTTTATGTACCTGATAATGTTTTTCAAGACAAAAGATTGCAAGGATGTATTCAGTCATTTCAGCAGTGTACAGCAGATAATAATAATTCTTCAGTCATGTTTCATAAGAATGTGAACCCATCTTCAATGTCGTGTGTTGTGCAGGATCAAAGTGCTGCACGAAATGCGGAGTCTATGTATACTGATAGAGTTCCTCCTCTTCCATCAATGGATCATCAATCTTTTGGACCAGCTATTCATCAGGGATTATATAATCCTCAACAATTTTTGCACAATAACAGCATTCCTGCCAACATCACGTTGAATTGTAATTTTTCATCTCCTAGTATGGGTGGCCAGGTCTTTAGTACTCAGCTTCCAGTTAACCAGTGTATTGAAATGAATCCTCACAATCAAGCCGCAACAGATATAGTTACTGCTGTCTCACAATCATCTAATCCCGGTGCATTTTTATTTCATACTGATGTTCAAAATCATCCAAATCAAGCTATTAATAATGGTAATGTCATGCCTAATTTTTTGAACCCTGGATGTAGTCAAACCTTTACTGCTACTTCTATACATGATACACAACATCCAGTTTCATCTGCTGGTATGAACTCTCCAAGATATGTAGCATCTAGAGATGATGCAGCAATAGTATCACGGCAGAAAACTAAAAAGACTAACAAGACTAAAACTAATAAATTAAATTCTGTTCTAGATCGAGGCTCACCTTGTCCAAATGTAGACGTTCGCCAGATCCCATCTGAACACCACCGTCCTCCTCCAGAAGCATTTGCTGCAATTGTAAGTTCTTCAGGAAGTCTTTCTACAGTAGTTCCTGTATCCTGTTCCAATTATCAACCCATTAATAATAATTTACCATTTTCTACTGATAATTTAACTCACCCATATCTTAACAAACCTTTGGTTTCAACGGCTGGCCAAAGTATGCCTTGTAGGACTCGTAACCAAGGTGGTAATTTCTATGATATTGCCAAAACACATGATTCTGGTGGTTCAAGCAATAGTTCACCTTTTTCATCAAGTCCAAGCTTGAATAAAAATTTTCAAACTAACACGTTTCAGCCTTATCAAGATTCTACTCAGTTTCCTCAAGCAAATAATTCATATCCATCTCATGACAGTACTAGAAATCAGAGTAAACATTTGCAACCTACAAATAACAAAATATCTCACACTGGACAACAGATGTCTGGAGGTCTTCCCCATAATACAGTGCCACCAAATAGGCTTCATTGTGCTAGTAACAGTAACCCTTATGTTGGAAATTCTTCACCTGAAAATAAAATTCAAGTCCAAAATGTGGATAATGGGAACTCTACTTGTATTAGTAGTTCTTACAATCCTATTAAAAGCTCATCAAGCCCAGTATCTAAATTATCTGATATTGTACCTTCTTCTTCTCAGTTTACATCTGTTGGTTATATTGGTAGTAGCTGTCCTCCCACCTCTGCAATAATGACTTTTGTTAGTAGCAATCCTTCGTTGCATACTGCAAACTCTGTATCTTGCTCCACCTCTTTTTATAATCCTTCCTCTCAATCTAATATCATAAATATTCCTATGAGCTATGCAAATCCTCAAAGTCATATGAACAATATGAATACAGTATATTCCAACCAAAATATGGCGTGCACCCAGCAAGTACGGCAAAATATCACCATGACACAGCAGCCTATTGTTTATAATAATGCACTTCAAAACCCAGCGGGGCATAGGCATGATCAGACTACAAACTTTTTTATGCAAAATGCTGGAGCTGCTACTCTGGATGGGATGACAGCATTGCGGCCATCTCTAGTTCAACAAGATAGCTCTGGTGTCTTAGTGCAGCAAGTTCTAAGTCAAAAAATTTCATCAGAATATCCTGCAGCTAACATATTTTCTTCAACAGCTCGGGCCCAAGTTGTACAGCAAGTTAGTGGAATGGTGCTACCTGCATCAGCTTCAAATTCAGGTGTAAATTCTCAGCAACTGGTTTTGGCTCCTACTCAAGTGAGAATGTCAGGTTCAGGTGGCTTAATAACAATGTTACCACCTACTATGACTAGTAATGCCATGATGAATGGTACTCAAGTTTTAACTGGACCTGCACAGCAAATGGGACCTCAAATGGTTCTTCCCGACAGTATGAGACCTAATATGTTGAATCAACAACAACAAATTCTCCAAAATAATTGTTTTATTATGAGCAACCAGCCTACTTTTGTTACAAGACCTCCTCATACAAGCATTGTGAGTTGTCATGTTCCATGTCCAACAAGTGTTTCTTTATCTTTTTCCAATGGGAGCATAGGTAATTATACTACTACACAACATAATGCACATGGTACTCCAATTATTACTGGCCCTATAATTCACAAAACACCAGACCGAAATGAGTTAACTGCGCAGCATATTGGTAATAATGACATGTCAATTCAAAATGGAAAGGATCAAAACTCATTTACTACTAGTTTTCATGTCCTTCAATCCACACAACAGAGACTTCCAGGGCAAAAAATTGATCCCTCTGATATGGGGCAGGAAAACTGGTTGCAGAAATCAGATGTAAAAAACAACACAAATGAAAGAACTAATCAAGTAACTGGAGCATTCATAGGTAATGTGTCAACGTCTAGGTCAAGTTCAGTGCCTTCTAACATATCTGGTCATGCAATGATATCGAACTGTGGCCAAGTACTTATTAGTGGAGATAACAATAACTGTGTACATCCACAGACAATGACTGCTTCTAATATTTCTCGAATGACAGGGGTGATACCTATTGTTGGAGGCCAGTGTGCATTAAATTCTCCTATGCCACCTTTGTCTGTACCAAACGTAACTGCTGTAACAACTACAATGACTCAAATGATTCCTGCTATTGGTATTGCACCACAAATTTTAGGCCAACCAGTACAGCCCATGGTTCAAGTTATCAATACCGTGCCCTTCAATTCTATGCAAAATGCTGTTATTGTTCCTGGAGGTTCGAATGTTTTATCCCAGACTGTACGTTTGGATACGTTGCAAACTTCTCCAGTTGTTGGAACTCCTACCCCTACAGTTTTTAATGGTGTTGTAATCCCACCTAACACAATGAACTGTGTTCCTCCATCACCAGTAACTAATGTCCCATCCCTGAGGCACCCTCATCCTGGTAATCCTAATGATGAAATGCGAATAAATATTGAGAATGGGCATGAAACTAGAGGAACTCCAGGTTCAAATTCATCATGCAGTACACCTGCTTCTAGTTGTAGTTCAACCCCAGTATCATCAAATAATGACAACCATACCTTAACCTTTCGTGCACTATCACCTGCTGTTAGGAAAAGGAGTCGGGATGGTAAACGAAAAGCAAATAGTCAGACTGTTGCTTCAATGTTGCAGCATGGTGCTCATAATTCTTCTGCCGCTAATTCGAGTGCTGCTAATTCGGTTTCTCAGCAGCAGCAACAGACACAGCATATTCAACAGCAGCAACAAAATGCAGCTCAACTTTCATCTATTCAGCAACAGTTCCTGCAACCACCTGTGCTACAGACTCTTACCGTCCTGCCTCAACAGCCTAGGCCTCTTTTACAACAACCAGTCATGAATTACAATAGTATTGGCTCTGTTGGTGGTCATCAAATTCTTGCTACAGGTTTAACAAGTCCTCTTGGTATTGTCCAACCTTTGAGCATGCTAGGTGTGACACCTGCTGGAACTGTTATACAAAACATACCTGTACAGCAGGTAGTTCCAGGACCTCATTTTCAATCTCTTACTGTTTTGCAAGGTCCTCATACTGTAAATTCTCTTCCTCAGGAACAGCCTGTTGTAGTAAATGATACTTCTTCTATGGGGGTTCATCCTACTCAGATGCATAGTGCCTTTGCTGCTGGTTCTATTGTTCCTAACATGGTTACTACAAACCCAGTGATAAGTACACATGTAGGAGGAACTGAGGTTCTTGTAACTGCTACTTCACAGTCTCATGGTGTAAATGAAAATGCCACTCAAGCATCTGTTCCATCCCAGTTTCCTTCAGTTTTTCCTCCAGCTTTACCACCTATAGCCCAGTCTCTTTCTTCCACAACATGCTCTAATAATGCAAAATTATGTAGGTCTAATGTTACAACTACCTGTGTGGCATCATCTTATCAAGGGCAAGGATCTGTTGTCACATCGTATGTAGCATCTGTAGCCCTGAATACGTGTACTATTTCTAGTAGGGAGAACAAAGATGAAAATTTCAATTCTGCTGCAGCTGAGCCATTTACAGAACCTAACCAAAAAGCTCGAAGCATAGGGGTTCAAAGTAGTTGTACAGAACAGAATGCTGCAGTACAAACAGTAACGTCTACTGTCCCGGTGAATAATATTTCTGCAACTAATTCTCCTGAAAATAGCCAAAACACTAAACTCAGCATGCAAGAATCTTGTTTGGATGATCCTAAATCTAAATTTGAAGGTGAAAATAGTAGTACATTATTATCATCAGGAGGAGAGTCTTGTGAATCTCCTTGGCCTGATCCTGTAAATCTTTCTGCAGCTGTGAGAGCAGTTGTGCAAGAACAAGTGGATAGTAACGAAGAAATGCTATCACATCCTACTAGTAGTACAAATCAGATAGTAAACTTTTTGGATTGTAGTTCATCCATGCATGAAGAAACATCTGAACAAACTCCAAATTCTTCTGTAGAAGATATAGAAGAAAGCAATGATGGCAATTCTGTTCTTGATTTACGTACAATGTCATTGCAGTCTGGGGAATTTAGCACAGATCAGGAAATCTCTGATGAAACCAACTGTGGTGCATCCTGTGTTGAAGAAAGAGTTGATAGCATTTTACACTTGAACAACTGGAACAAAGATCAGCTTCCTGTGGAAAATCAAGGAGAATCAAGTGAACACGTAGTTGAAAATGCATCAACTGCTTCATCTGAAAGTTCTGAGCAAACTAGTACGGACTGTAATGTCACAAGTGATTCTGGAGTTGAATCAAGTCAAGAGCCTATGAATCTTGCATGCATTCGTGAGGAAGATGATGATAATGGTGATGTGGATTTGGTGGATTCTGCGCCCACTATGGAGGAAGAAGAAATGTCCGTATTGATCACTTACGATGGCAATATGAACAAAGCTGATGACAAGTTAATAAAGAAACGTGGAATTAAACGACTCAAACGGGAAATAGATATTCCTTATGATGAACAAGATGAAGAATCAGATGGTAAGTTAGGAGGAAGAAGGAAGTAATATTTAAGATAATAATGTAGTTATTTCTATGTATGTAATGTTCCCTTTTCTTTGAATTATTTTGATTTTTTTCATCTTGTAATTTTTTATAAATGTTGCATATAAACATTAGTAGTTTGTGAAGATAATAACAGATAATATATTCAGTCTGTTCTCTGACATTCTCATCTCTCAGCACATGTGTAACTTATATAGTAAATTTATATTTAACATCTTAGAAGTTTATTATGGAAGAAAATATTATGGATAAAACATTGCCATGGTATTATATTAATAGTATGGTAATAATGTTTATACCATGGCATTATGTAATCCCAGCAACTATATCATCTGGTAAATCTTTTATTATGCTTTTAATTAATAATTTAGTATAATTTTTAATCGGGAAGAAGAGAGTGAAATATGGAGGATATATTTTTCTTTTATTTCATTTCTCTCCCCCCTTTTTAAAAATTTTCTCTAATACTTGTTGAAACAAAGGGATGAAGTTATCAATTAACTTCATCCCTTTGTTAATGTGCAAAGTATCTCATCTATCATTTGCATCAGGATTCTTTTCGTATCTTTTAAAGTTGTTATTTGTATGAATTAGATTCAACTTTTATTGAATTAATATGTTACCTCTTTTTTATTTTGCTGTGGCATAAAATATAGAGATGGGAAAATATGCAGGTCAGCAGGTTGAAATATTGTGGAAGTTGAATAAATTTAAATTGTAGAGAAGAGTTTGAAGTTAAAAGTTCTAAAATGTGTATGTAAGATTACCTTATTATTTATTTACAGTTAAGATGAAATATCAAGTAAGTCAAGTACCAATGACCAAATAGTCATTCGTAATTTTATTCTGTGTTTGATTCATCTTTTTTTGGGGGGGCGGTGAGGGTTTTTTTAAGAACTACTAAGTTAGTTTTACAGAAAAAGTTCTTATCTATTGGCATCTTTCATCAGGTTTATTTTTTGGTGCGGGAGGTAGTGTGTGTGTATATGTTAAAAAATTATTTATATAAAAAAAACTTTTGAATTTATCAAGGAATTAGGGAAGTTTAGAATTTTTTGAGATAAAAGAATAATACTGCTTCATATTTTATCCTCACCTATCCAAGTCATGAAATTTTGTTTCATTCATTTGAAATCTATGAATTTGGGAGAAAAACTTGAAATAAGGTTAATTCTTAGAACAAGCTGTGAATCATACATCAAGTGTTAAGATTGTTTATTCTATGTTTTCGAAGGAAAATAATCTGTAACTTTAGACTGCATGAAATACTCTTTTGGAGAAATACTTTTATATCTTAACACGTTCATGGCGGCGTTGGCCACCGGTGGCCCGCACTAGTCTGTCTTATCGAGCGGCGTGTACCACCGGTGGTACACATTCGATTGTGTTATTAGATTGCTTCTATTGATAAATTCATCAGATGAATCACTTATTTCCATATCCCTGTTAACTATTATTTATAAGGGGAAAAAAAAAAAAAAAAACATTCTAACTGCCTTTCTAGTTATACTTATTGGCAGAAATGTGAGGTTAAGATGAAGAAAACTGCAGGAGTTACACGACTTGCAAAATAAGTACTCGCTATACTATTAGCAAACGTACAACTCATTAACAAGTCTGAACAGTAGTGATGAGTCGGTACTACCGAACCGGGTATTTTGTAATGGGTACTTAGTTGTATCGGGTACTGAAAATCGGTACATCCAAGTACCCGTTACTTCAGTACCGAAATCGGTACTTTTCGGTATTCATTACTTCTGTACCGAAATGGGTACCTTTCGGTATTCGTTACTTCTGTACCGAAACAGGCACTTTTCGGTATTCGTTACTTCTGTACCGAGACGGGTACTTTTCGGTATTCGTTACTTCTGTACCAAAACGGGTACTTTTCGGTATTCGCTACTTTGTGACGAAAATATGCGCCTCTTCTCGGTTTTTCGGTATTTGTTACTGGAGGATCGATGACGGTTCAGCTCACTTCGGTTTTGGTACGAGGACAGTAGTATCTGGTTGTATTTGCGAAATGGTGGTATGCGCTCCTTGTGTACATGAATGACCTTGAAATAGGGCATGGAATGGCAAATGTGAAAGGGGGGAACTTCCGTTCCGTTCGTCACGAAGACTAGAGTTTGAGGTAGTATAATTAATTGCTTTTGTGTGCACGGGAGGACGAGTGTGAAATAGTGGAAATTTTTTGAAAGGCCGTTCTTTGTGTGTGTGTGCGTGTGTGTGGAATAGTAGTAGTTGAAGTCACTGTCACCGGCATTGCTCGCTTGTGATTGGAGTCGGTATAGTCAGGATGGAAAGGGAGGGGAGCGCTAGATGATTTGCAATCCGAATTGTGCATGTTTTGATTTTTCATCGTTTGTAGATTTTTCATCGTTTCATCGTAGGAGAAAAACTGCGTGGATCTGAAATGATTGATTTGGTAAGTTGCTGTTATTGGATTGGTGAATGGAATCAACTACCAACTAGATTACTTCCTTTTCCTCAACATATTTTTAGCATAAATCATGAAAAATATTTTTCGTGTGCTTGCTTTAATAGGGCAACGTAAATCATATGATCCTTTTTAAATAAATATGATCCTTTTTTTATCCCGCTGTACCTTCTTCAGAAAATGTCCCAGCATCTAGTGGATCACTAAGCCAATCAACATAAAATACAGATGCAATTTTAAACTTTTCTAATGAAAGAACAAAGATAACTGACCCACTTATGATAATTCTTCCCCCTTCTAAAAACAGATTTTCATCTTGCCAAAAACTAAACCCAGGTCACGTGCCTAACGCAGGATTGTCAACGCCTGCTTTACCCCCCCCCCCAGGACATGACCACGCTCCTCCGATAGGAAGAGAGGTAAAATTTGACCTGGCAGTCCGAATCTTCTTCTTCTTCTTTTTTTTTTTTTAATTACTCCCTCTGGAGCTTATTTGAGGGGGGGGACTATCGAATGGAACACCGGAAATTATCTGGACATGTTTATGTAAACATACATGTCCCTCCATTTTTTCCTTTGCATTTTTGCTCTTTCATGCCTGATTAATAGAATCATTAGGCGATATTGCACTTAGTTCCTTCAGTGCGCAAAATCGTTAGCTGCGTATTTCGGTACTCCAAATCACTACTAGGGCACTTCGGTACTCCAAATCGTTACTAGGGTACTTCGGTATTCCAAATCGTTACTAGGGTACTCCGGTACAGCAAACCGTTACTAGGGTACTCCGGTACAGCAAACCGTTACTCTGGTATTTCGTTACTTCGGTACTCCAAATTGTTACTTGGGTACTCGGTACTTGAAATCGGTTTTCGGTACTTTTCAAAGTAACGGTTACTTGAGTAACGGGTATTTTGTACCGGGTACTTTTCTGTACCCGGTACGAGAAAGTACCGAAGTTGCCCATCACTACTGAACAGGTAATAATCGCGCGCCGCCAGATGAAACGTGGCAAAAATTCGATCGCCGCCTCACACCGAAGAACATAAAAATTGGACCCATCGTTAACGTGTTAAAAACGTTTTCCTGTTTATATATATATATATATATAAAACTGCTCAGTGCATTTATCTATAAGTTATGTGAATGAATTTGCTAATTACTGATTAATAAATATAATTTTCTAAATTGAGGTTGATTCCATATAGTGCTATATTTCTTTGCCTGTTTTTCACAGTATTTATACTAGTTGTGAGCAGCTGAAAATTGAGGTGTGAAAAATGCATATGTTTGTACGAACATGTAATTTTAGCAAGTTTGCTCTAATTATTACTGGATATCTTGATTATCATAAGTCATAATGCTACGAGAGAGAGAATTTTTTGTTTGCGCATGTTCCAAACAGTTTGAGATTTTTGTCTGTATACAGTGTATCAAAAATTTGTTTTCCGTCTGAAGAAGAGGCCCTTATCTTTGATTGCCCCCAAAATCAATAAAGTTTATCAAAATATATGCCATTGTAAAGTTCCTTTTTTTAAATAGCATGTATCTTTGTAAGATGTGATTATTATAATAGGAAATTGAATCAGTAGTTGACTAGTGTGTTTTAAGGATTGAGCAGAAATAATTTTAAAATGGAATAAATAACTGTGCTATGTAATATTAATTCAGAATACTTTCTGGAATCTTACGTGATGGTGAATCACTTTCCTATCCTGATTGCCATTATCTTCAGCATCTTGCCAGATTAAATCATAACCAGAACCTTCTATGGCTTTGAAAAATCCTTGCTTGGTTAGTATTGGTGACATATACTTTTATGTCTTCATAATATATTCACTAATCATTTTCAGAGTTGGTTATTACGTTATATCTCAAGGTTGGACTTTATCTCCAGCCATATGTTTTGCTTTAAAACCTTTGAACTTCAAAGGTACTGTAAGTAGTTGTTAGAGTAAAATTTTCTCAGGAATCCATATCTAATCATTTTTCTTGAACCTTTATTTTCGTAACCTTTTCGCAATGAAAGTCACCAACATGCACGAACCATTGGGCCAGCTATTTCTTATGCAAGCATCTCTCTGAAGGCCAGACATTTTTTTTGCTATTAAGTCTAAATCCTTGAAATTCTGGAATGATGATTCTTTCATTAAATAATGTTCTATAGAATATATGTGTAGTGGGGGAGTTGAAGATGCTAAATAACAATTCCAAGGTGCCACACCACAGAACATTTAATAAAGACAAACAGAAGAAGGTACAGATTGAATTAAATGCAAGTGCCATTTGATACAAACAGGATTCTGTATAGCTTTTGCCAGTCTTATCACATAACCGATTAGTGCCTACTCGCACTTGCTGATGTACAGTCAATTTACCACCTTTTGCGTGGAAAACTACAGTTCCTTATTCTACACCTTCATGTGTAGACGGACATCTCACCACCTTCGCGTGGGATAGCAGAAGAAAGTCTCTGTCATACTCCTCTTTCACCTCACTGCTGGCGCATTGGTGAAGCCCTCTGGTGGTTGTGTGGCACTTACGGATACTACATATATATACAGTCAAAAGTCGTTAATCCGGACTCGTCAGAACTTCGGCGATTCCGGATTATCGATTTTTCCGGATTATAGATCATCAGTTTAAATATGGTAAGATGGCATGCAGAAATTATAAAATTAAAAATATGAAACCGTAATTTATGAAATAAAGAACAATTATGATCTAAAGAGTATCAAAATTTACAAAAAAAAAGCTTAATATTTATTTGTTTACTTTATTAAACATTTCTTTCAATGTAAGTTGCTTCATTTTATGTGATAATACCTTCTCTTTAATTCTATAAGCAGATAATTTCTTGTTCAGTTACAAAGTTCCGCTGTTCAAGTCCTATAATTGCTGTGTCGAGAATACTGACTAATTTGTCAATAGAAATTTTTTAGTTTTCAATAACCTCTGTGTCACTTTCTTCACTATCGGAAGCGAATTATAATGACAAGGAATATGATTTAAATCATATCAAAGACCGAGTACATCGAGATGAAATACTACATTTAGTAAGGAATTATAAGTATAAATAAAATAAAAATATAATAAAAAAAATCTGCCCTATAAAAATGTATAAATAAAATGTATAATAAAATGATGTATAAATAAAATAAAAACATCTGCCCTGAAGATAAGGATTGTGCCGACAGATCAACTTCCAATTCATTGCACGCCGCAGTGTCCCCCTGTTTTCTGTGTATAAAATGAGAAATTAAATTTTTTAAATTTTTCTATGTGTAATATATTTTTTTTTTTTTTTTTGTTTGAAAGCACTTTCTCACTATCTCATAAATCTTTCACATATTGTGTGACTTTTTATGTGGTCCATCTCCACAACTTAAAAAAAAATCTTTAACATGTTGCAAAAAAGTATTTGTTATAAATATTTATGAAATTTCTTTTTTCTTCCTCTCTCTCCCTTTTTTTTTTTTGTTTTTGTTTGTTTGTTGTGTGTGTGTATCTGTGTATGTGGAGGCGAGGTTCTTTCATGCAGTCCCTATGTATCGCACAAAACAGGTTTGACTGTATATAATTGATCTTGACCAGAAAGTTCCTCAAAAAAGAGATTTAACAACTTTTTCTGCATATAATCTTGGAGGTTTATTCCCATATAAACAAGAAAGTTAAGTACAAAGAAAGTTAAGAAAAACAAAAGACAGCAAAATTCTAAGGGAAATTATTAGATGGCGAAGAGAAATTATTTTTAAATAAAGAACATTTTGTAATTAAACGATTACATTATTATAAAATTGATAGTATAATAATGTCTTAATGTAAAATATTTATAGTTTTATTAATGTACTAGAAATTAAAAAAAAAAAAAGTATAAAGTTTTTTTTAAGTACCGAGTTCATAAGTGGTTGCTTGGTTGGAGCTTTTTCAGATGCATTGAATTTAAGTACAAAGCATCAACCCGGCAACTATAATTTACTTTGCTCTGCAGAGAATTCTTTAGATGTAAGCTTTTGATTTAAATTTGATATGGTTTTTATGTTTATGTGCATGTGTGACACAGTTGACCCTTGATATAATCTTCACTTATCTATATATAATTTTAACAAAAGCAAAATGTTTTAATTTTAACAATTTCGATATCACTATTTTGTATTTTTGCTAAATTTCTTTTGCTTTTTTAGTTAAAATAATTATGTTATTTAATCTATATAATTTTAACAAAAGCAAAATGTTTTAATTTTAACAATTTCGATATCACTATTTTGTATTTTTGCTAAATTTCTTTTGCTTTTTTAGTTAAAATAATTATGTTATTTAATATATACAGGGTTATCCAAATTAAATTTTCCCAACTCAGAGGCCTGTGCATAGTGTTGTATGGGTCATAATGTGATGAAATTTTAAAAACAGACACTTCAGATCATGCGCTTGAAATTTATTACACACAAAAAAAATTAGTATAAGAAGTTGTTGATAGGTTGTAACACTAGTAATGTGCATATTGCAGCAACGTGATTTGCAGAAATAAAGCTTCTGCACAATGTATCCAGACGAGCCCTACAAAAGTGGAAGACAGGCCTTGGAGAGGCAGTTGTTTCCAGCTCGCTGATGCACAATGGCGACTTTGAAAGACAAACCTCTGTTAGTGAAACTTTTCTACCAGAATGACGAGAACTCCTGTGCTGCGATAAGAGCATTCCGTTGGCTGAAGATCTTACGCCGAGGACCAATGACACCACGCGCTCTACGAGACATGAGGAAGTTCGAAAGAACGGGACAGCTGGGAATTTTATGACAGGTTGTGGAATCTGCACGCGTAGAAGACGTTGTTTTGGCAGTCGTGGACCACCCGACTAGCCAATCACCACATGGTGTTGTCAGTTTGCCAACTGTTTATCATGCTGTTGATATGCCCTATACGACCGTCTGGCGTGTGATGCATCGAATCCTCGGTTATTTACCTTACAAAATCCATAGTCTTTATCAGCTGTCTGACGAGGATCCTATTTGCGTTGCAGTTCCTTGCCAGAATGGAAGTCAATGCTGCTTGGCTGTTCAACATCCTGTGGACAGTTGAGGCCCATTTTCACCTGAATAGTCAAGTGAATATGCACAACTGCCGCATTTGGGCAAGTGAAAACCCGCGCGCAATCCATCAAGTGCCCTTGAACCCTCCAAATGTTACTGTATGGTGCGATTTCACTGCAACATTCGTCATTGGGCCTTATTTTTTTGAAGAGGTGACTCCAACAGGGTTCAAAACCTGCTCTGTCACAGGAAAACAGGTATCAGGACATGTTGACAACATTTGTGATCCCTGAACTGCAACAACGTGGTTGCCTCCAGGACACAATATTTATGTAGGATGGTTCACCTCCCCATATTTTTTGTGGCGTTGCATTCAGAGGACGGGGGATGCGTATACGCATTTTAAGGTGGAACGGTTTTCTGAAGTCCACTAGATGGCATCCTATGTCCATTGCTTTTGAAATGAACACAGTTTTAGGCTCCTGACCTTGAGTTTGATATATTCTGCTTGACTTTGGTATTTTACTCATCAGCTGTTGCGAGAGTGTGGGGGGGGGGAAGCGTAAACAGAGGTGGGCTCTTTAAATCGCTACATGCTAATGAAAATATTCTCGTGTCTGATTTATATTCAATTCCTTTTTTTATTCTATTTTTTCCCTCTACTATGTACAGTCTTTTAGGGTTACTGTGCAGAGTTCTTTTACGTTTTGCATTGACTTCAGATACATTTCCGTTTCTTCTCTTTTTATTTTGGAAAGCCTCACCTCCATTCTATTATGGCAGGAAGGCACTATTTAGCAGAGGATGAATACCCTTGTATGGTTAGTAATGCAAATGAGAGTTATGATTCCTTTTATAAAGAGTTGAAACGTGATACTTTTTCTGAGAGTTAGACAGTGATACTTCTCTGTGCTTCGATATTTACCACACTCGTTTTAAATTTAAATTTTGTTACTTCTTAAAGTAAATAGTCTTTATTGTATTGTTTTATTAATTTTAAACTTTATTGATGGATTTTATCAATTAAAACTTTGGAATAATTTGAATAGCGCTTCCGAAAATTTTTTACAAGCAATTTTTTAAGTACATTTTCATGCAAATGTACAGTTAAAAAAATGGAAGAAAAAATGTTATTAAGTACTAATTTTAACATATATTAGAGCTCAAGTAATAATCTAAAATGATACCAAAAATTAAGATGCTAGAAGCGAAACTTTTTCTTTTCTGATTTTTTTTACAAAATTAGGCTTAGCAATGCAAAACCTCCGTCCTGTACGGTGACTGCCTTCGATTCCCTTCCGTCCCGCACGAACGTCTTAAACAAAGGTGCGCCGTCGCGAAAATGTTAATGATTCTAGCTGAACTTCTTTTATTCTGATGAATTTAATTTTAAAAAAAGAATGCAATAGTAAATGTTAAATATGAATGCTATTTATTTTTGTTGAAAGAAAATCAAGAAAAGCTAGTGTTAGAAAACTATAATATTTTTATTTGTTAGCACTCTTTTATATATCACATTTTGAAAATTAAGTAATTGCTTTAAAAAAAATGTATTGATATTGGTGTCGTATTTATCATGAACTATAGTTATGTATTATTTATAAGTGTGGGTAGGAAGCAGAGGTATAAAGCTGTAACAGGATTTTCTTATCATGAGAATTTTTTTTTTGGGGGGGGATATAAGCTTTTAAAAATTATTCTTAAGTGTTCCACTGAGATATAAACTTTAGTCTGGGTGCAAACAGCATGTTAAAGGAAGAGAGCAATTTTTAAAATGAGGTGATCAAGAATGAAAATTATCAGAGTTGTATATTCACTTTTTAATATTATTTACCATACTTAAAACATTGAAAAAGCTTATAAAATTTTTCTTTTGAGTAGATGGCACTCCATTATCACCACCACTACCACCTCAGCCTCGCACATTCAATGATGGAGATTTAGTTTGGGGTCAGATTCGTGGATTTCCATCCTGGCCTGGTAAGCTGGTACGAGAAGATGAAGTTAAAGGTACTCATAAGTCTGAAGATGGGAAGGTTTGTAATTTTTCTTTACTTTTAAACATTTAAATAAAATGTAATGTTTATTTTGTAAATAGTGAACTGAAGTATTTTATGTAATAGATTAAGGTATTAAAAGATCTCATGCTAATAGAGAAGGATACATTAATAATTTTCACAAGGGGAAAAGGTAGCTTTTACAGAATTGCCAACTCTCCCAATTTCTGACTGTATTCCCACCAGTTCGATTTACAACATATTTCTCCTGACCTTCTCTTATTCTTAAAATTTCACTCAGTTTGTATGTAGCTTGGCGTATTTGCACCCAAAAGAGTGATTTTTGTCATTTAAAAGTGCATGGGTTTTATCTAGATTGCATATAAAAGAAAAAGAAAACAGAAGTTGTTTCATCAGTGAGGCAGTGGCACTCTTCTGCTTTGTGTGTGACAGCACATGTATCCGAAAATGTTGTGTTCCAGTTCTCCAAGAAGCATCAAATGCTGCTGTTGGTCATCTGGCATATATTAGCCAATGAGCACAAAACAAGATAGAGGTTGTTATTTTGTTCGTCATGCTGCTGAGCAGTGTGAGTTTTACATGCTTTCAAGAAATATTTTAAGAAAGTGCGAATTTGTAAAAAAAGTAAAGTATTCATGTATTTCTCAAAAATCATTCACAGAGGATTTTTCTTCTATTATTTCATCAAAGAAATATGATAATATTTGTGATGTTCACCATTTGTCTTTGCAATTTTTTGATTTTGCAGGGGGGAAGAGCCGGTGTTCTTAAATACATGCTTTCTCTGTCCCCACTTTAGAAGGAGATTGGACAGGCTTTAATATAGCAAAGCTAATTATTAAAACTTTAAAAGGAAATGCAATTCCTCTGGATAATGGTTAATCTCTTGGAGTCAGCAGTGCACCAGAGATGGTAGTTTGAAGACTTGTATTGCAATATTATTATTAAAAAAAAAATTGCAAATTATGAGGTGTCCATACCTGTCCTCCTTAAATTTAGCAACTGAAAAAGAGGCAGCTTCTTTACCAATAAGTACGGATGAACACAATGTTGATATTTACTATTATCTAGAAAGGAGGCTTTAAAAGAAAGGAAAAATTGAAATATTTCAACAACTGAATCAGAATGAAATAAGAAAATGGTTGAAATATGTACATGCTAAGTTATCTTCAGAGAAATGTTGATCTAGAATCCTTGACCAGTCATAGGTTGGCAAGTATATGCTCTTATCTAAAGGCAAGTCATGGACTTGATGTCCGTGTATGATTGAAAACTTGTTCTTACGATTGATATTATAAATTATATATAGTTTCTATGCCAATAGCAATCAACTTCAGCTCTTAACTCTGAGTATTAGCATACAAGGTATGACTGGAAAGTAGAGTGAATCACACTTTAATTCGATAATGAGAACTGTCTTCAGGGTTGCCACGCTACCTGGAAAACCGGGAGAACCGGAAGAAGTCAGGGAATTCGAAAATTGACCATAAAATTCAGGAAAAAGTCAGGGAATTTAAGTATTTTTGTCAAAATCTGGAAAAATCAGGGAAGTTCATACAACGATCCCGCCAAAAAAAGCGACTTTTGCGCTGACGTTGGAAGAGATAACTTTTTGGGCGAATTGTGTATCACGTGAGTGTCATTCGGGCAGCTGGCATAGAGCCAATTTTCGCAGCTCCAATTTGGTTGTCTTTTAGAAAGGCAAAGTAAGTTTCCCGCAACTTTTGGTTTCCAGTATTCTCAAGAATCGCATGTGTAGTGCATGAATTAAAGAAAGTACCTGTTCTCGTATAAAACAAAATGGGTTTAATCCTAGTATACGGTACCATGGAGGTTAGAATCAAAGAATATGTATTGTAAAGAAGGAAAACCTCTCTGCAACAGACGTGGCTCCGTTTCATCATAGAGGGAAACAGCTGTGCATGCGTGATATATCTGTCGCCAAAGCTTGAAACCGGTGTCGAAGTTCGAAGGTCACATTATCAAGAGTTCATAAAATGAATATCGTTTAAAATTTCTTTAACCACTTGCGCAAAAAAGACGTGCCACACACGTCAAGATGCTTTTGTTTCAAACTGCGAGCGACGTGAAGACCATGTTGATAAGCATTTATCGCAAAAATGAAAATAACGTGGTGCACGTGTCGCCTAACAACGAGATTGTTTATTTCTTGAGTTACAGCTCTGGATTGCACTCGCAGATGCGGAGCGGCGTAAATGAGACACTTTACCGCTTGTTATATTGTAGCGCATGGCACCGCAACCTTGAAGTTTAGTTTTAGCACAAGTGGTTAAACTCTAAAGGAAAAGAAAATATTTTTTGGCGCAAGTAAATTAGTTCATGGATTAGTTATTTTCAGGGGGGGGGAAATACAAAAATCCATTTTTAAAATTATTGTGAAAAATCCAAGAAGAAACGTCCTTTGATAAAACGTTTCTTCTTGGATTTTTCGCAATAATTTAAAAATGGATTTTCATAGCTTTCTTTTTGTCAAAGAACGTTTCTTTTTAACACATGTTTCTCAATTTCTTGTACACATCGCGGAGAGGGAAATTCTGGCCGCCAGGTTCCGTCGCCAAACCCCTTGGCATTATTTTCCCTCCGCATTCTAGCGGCGTAATAGCATTTTACTTGTATGGAACCTTTTCTTCTTTACATAGACGTTCTTTGGTTAGAATAATCTCCATGTATTTTTTTTAGGGGGGAGGAGAACAAATGATCTGATCCATTAAAAAATCATGCAGGTTCTCGTATTTTCCCTCTCTTGAGATAAATATGTTTCCTTTCAGTACGATCTGAAAACTAAATGCCAAAACATTTGAGTGACACAGTTCCTCATCACCAAGATTGAAGAAGTTGAAGGTGAATGCAATGCTTCTTTTGGGGGTGGGTGGGGGAACAAATGATCTGATCCATTAAAAAGTCATACAGATTCTCACATTTTTTCTCTGTTTGTGTATGACCCCAGGCTGAACCAGAATCTTTGTACAGTGAGCAGCCTGATATTACTGTGCACATAAAACAATCCTTTAGAATCCATCAGGTTTCTTGAGTTGTATCATGCTGTAGTCTTCTGAACCCTGTCCCACCAGACTTATTTCTCTTCCTCAGAATGAAATTGGCAATGAAAGAGTGCAAATTTTCTTACATTTATGCTGCTGTAATGAGCAAACTGATCTTAACCCCTTTACCTACAATGACGGGCATAGCCCGCATACGATGGTCGGGCCAAATGTAAATATTACGGGCATAGCATGCGAACGATGGTCGGGCCAAACCTAAATTTCACAGGCATAGCCCGTGTACGGTGATCGGGCCAGAAGTGAATATTACGTGGAATATTTGATACACAATTACTTGCATGTGATGCAATAATTATGGTAGATGCAAGTATTACAAAATGTTTATTTATACAAAACTTCAAAATACGAAATTAGTAATCTGTAACGGTATGATATATTTCAAAGCATTCTGGTACATGTAACGGAACTTTACACTTTTTACACTCCTACGTTGGTTCTTTACGTTTTTTATTTTTGTGACAAACTGTACAATGTTTTGACGGTCTTAATTTAAAGGGTGTTGGAACAATGTGCTTTGGAAAATGAGCCCATTCCTTCGCGTAAAGTCTGTCTGGCGCATTCTCCGGAAGATAATATGAGATGCCCGTCATGTTTACGATTGCCCAGATGAGCGTGTTGAACAAGTCGTGCAAATGTCCCGAGCGTTGCCCGAGCTTGTATACAATTTCGGCCCAATATCTTCGAATCTAAACCGTATGTTAAGGGGTTAAAAGCAGTGTCTAGATATTTCTTAAAGTTATAGAAACATTGTGAAAAGTGCATTGTGTCAGATGCCAGTGAGGTATATGTATTCAGATATTTTATTTCCTAATGTCAGAATTTTGTGTTTGTTTGGTGGATCTTGTATCACTAGTAGAAAACTCTTCTCTTTGGAATTTTTTAGGTTTTTGTCTATTTTTATTGATTAAACTCTAAATTAAAGTTTATTCTTGTAAGAATAATTCCTCTATGATATTTTCTGCATTTCTTTCTTAAAATTTTGCGGTAAATACATAGCATTTTTTTTTTTTTTTTTTTTTTTTTTTATATTTTAGTAGGTAGCTATGTATATTTTGTAGGTTATTTTAACTATTTTTTAATTAATCAGTTTTATATGTTTTATATATATATATAAAAGTCAAGGAGTTTTTATTTGATTCTGCATAAAATATTTCTGGGCATTTTTTCCCTTTTAAATTCATAACAGTATAGCATAAATATTTTTATGTGCAATTAATTTTTTTCTTTTAAATTCTTGATAGTTATGGGTTAGATGGTTTGGAGACCACACTTTTACTCAAGTGGAACCTGAAAAACTGAAAACTCTATCTGAAGGTTTAGAAGCTCATCATAGAGCTAGAAAAAGGCATAGGCGGTAAATATGATTTTTACTTTCTCGTTATTAATATATTTTTTCACTTTCTCTATATATGAATTCTGTGAAAAAAATTCTGCAAAACTTCATTGTGTGCCTGTTCACGTTGAGTTTTGATGTTTCTAATTTAGCTTGCACTGTTTCATATCAATGCACACTATACAGATCAATCATTTTGATCAATTTAACTAGCTGTTTGATAATTTGATAAATAATCTTGATATAGTTTTTAAGAACTGCACAATTCTATAAAAGTTTTATTTTCAAATGTGTTATCTGTAATTCTAGGAATTTCAAGTATTCTGTATATATTTTCTGGATATATGGTATAACATAAGTAGATGGATTTAATATTAGATTATAATAATGAATTCTTATAGTTTATTTTGAAAAAGTTTTGCCATTTATAAACTTGTAAATATGTGAAATCTATGCTTGAAATTGTTGAGCCTTGTGGCTTGAGGATAAGGACTTTAGAATTCCTGCATTTGGGTGAACTGTTCTGAAGATTCCTGGAATTAGTATATTCTTGTTAGTCCTCATATAAAAAATTTGTCTAAAAAGGAAATTGCTATGGAACAGAGATAAATGAAAAGTCCATAATTTTGGGATAAATTTTTCAAAAGGTCCTCAATTTTTCATTTGAGATTGCTGTCTTATTTCTTTTGTTGCTATTTTCAGCGTGATTGATTAGATAATTGAGATTTGTAGCTTTATACAAGATATTCTAAATGCATGTGGTATTTAAAATAACAGGACTCTTTCACTAAAAAAGAATGTCTTCCAGTGATTGCACTTTCAGTTTATATATGAACCTGCTTACCTAGAAGTACATGATTGGGGGGGGGACCGTTAATACTAATGTAAATTGGTAGATAACAAATCCTAAAAAATTAAAGACTTAATGATATAACAATATTTGTCACCTTTCCAAACATTCAAAATGTGATTTTAACTTAATACAACTTGTTAAAAGGAATGTGAATACTTTACATAATAATAAATATGCTGACTAAGGATTCAAGGCATAACACAGTTAAGATGTAATTTAAAAAAAAATCTGAGCAGTGATCTATCTTATCTATCTGCATTTAATGATGTAAATTAAGTTACATGCTTCACAACCACAAATAACTATAGTGCTTTTACAAAACATAAATTCAACTGATTTTCGAACTGATTCAAGTTTGTGTTTATCTATGAGCGTGCATATAGAAGTATTTTCATGTGTTTATGCAGAGAGGTCATGGTAACAGATCATATGTAACAATCTGTAATCTGGAAGTATTGGTCTTTGAAACAGATTATATGAATATTGCTGAGTATATTACAATATACTAGAAAATATCCAAATTTGCTAGCTTTGAAGTCCATATCTGTTAAGAGGCTTAACTATAGACATAGTTACTATAGAAGTGGGGGGAGGGGGAAGATGGCCTCTGATATTCAGATGCACTGATGCAATCTTTTGACAATGCTACTAAGAATTATTTGGTGTTGAAATAAAGCAACACTCTAAAAATTATCAAGAATTAATGAGTAATTCAACACAGAATGGATAAAGATAGTATGATACAGAAGAAATTTATAGATTAAAAAAAAAAAAAAAAAAAAAAAAGAGCGAGAAAAGAGGAAAATTTGAAAAATCTAGTCTAGAAGCTCAAGACATAGCTTAGTAGAAAACATGGCTCTGAATAAATGGATTTCTGGCTCTAAATGATTAAATAAATGGACGGTAAAATATAAATGGAAACAGAGATAGATATTCTTTAGTATCTTCAGGGTCAGCACAATAAACACTCTTAATGACTTCTTATTTATCTTAGAAATGTTATGAAACATTTTTTTGCAAATGTTGAGCACCATCCAGTTTGTTGAAAAAAATATTTCTACAACCAAGTGATTTATTGAAAATTTGGAGATATTTAGTTGTATGGTAACATTGTGAAATTGTTGCCCTTTCTATAATTATTCCATCAAATGCTTTTCTTTGAACCACAAATATCAAATCTCCAAGCACTAACAATACAAATCCACATATATAGACTTGTTTGCACATTTGTATATCAGCCACCTACTGAGCATATTGATTAGAGTGAGATAAGTGACTTAATAGAGCACAGCTGCCTGCTCTTATCCCAATAACTAGTAATTTCAGTGGGCTTAATTTTCTCAGAGATTTAAAAATATACATAAAAGTCAAATTGAGCAATTGGCTGGTGATCATAGCCTTTTGTCTGATCAGTAACATTCGAACTGTATGCTTCCACAGCTTTCAAAAGCATTTCATTCAGTTGATTTTGCTATTTGCCTCCACTTTTCCTGCTTTTTTGTTCTTTTGGTGTTACAGATGATTCATAAAATAATTACTGTATGCCTAGTCTTTGTGTATTTTAGAGAAGATAATGATATTTCTTTCCAGATCCCTATAATTTATCTTAGATAAAATAGACAGGGAAGTTTCCATTCTGCTTGACCAAAAAATGGTGACTATTCTGCCGATAGATCAGGCAGTGGTTTTATTAATGCTTTCTTCAGAGTAGCTTTAATCTACACTTATTTCATTTTTAAGGCTGCCAAAGTATCTGAAACTTTGGTGAACCATCAGAAAACAAGCATGTAGCAAAGAAAAGCATGGAATATCATGTGTCATTATTCAGTATTGTTCATCTTATGGCCTACAAAGAAAAAGGGCTAGGGAAGTATGCAAGAAATGTAGCATCAGAGGTCTTATGTTTCTTCTATAAGATAATCTACCTCATGCAAGAAAGTTTGGAAAATTTCACTCTTTATTTCCATATTGGGAGGGGCAGAGGCTACAATCAGCAGCAAAAGGTGGAAGTGTTTATTATGGGAGATTTGGCATTCTGGCAACAGCTATCTGCCAGCATTTTTGTCTAGCTAGAAATGTTGTGTTACCAATTATGAAGCTCACAGTGTTGATCTAATATTGGTAGAAAAGAGCTGTGTCCTACGCTGGTACATTACCTTGCATATTAGTGCTGATCGTGATGATGTGATATTTGCCTAATAAGTTACTATTTGATTTTTTTACTCTCATTCATATAATATGAAATCAGAAATTCTCTCATAATTCATGCTGTAGCATTGCTGTTATCCCAAATATAAATTGATTTATCATTTGTACTTTTTAATATGGAAAAAAACGTACAGTAGGCTGTGGAATTACAGTATTTTTTATTTCTTGGGATTTATCAGGAAACTTGCAAAACATTTAGTGGTTTCTTAGGCTATTTTTGGTGGTTAGAAGCAATCTACAAATTAAAAAATCTGTTATATTACTACTGGCAGTGAACTATTTTGCATATGATTTACTTGTTTTTCTTGATACAGTATTAGAATTACAATTAATAAAACTTGACAGTGAAACATTATGTTTTGAAAGTTAAATTCATATATTGCTGCTGGTAAACTGAAATTCATTCATGCCTTGATGAAACTCAGGAGATCAAAGCAATTACAATTAATGATATTAAGAACACTTTGAAGGATTGTATGAATGAAAGGGAAACTATTTATTATGATTTTCTGCAGTTCTTTTTTATCCTAAAAATTGGGGTGACAAAAACTCATCATGTTTTCATGGATAATTGACAATAAAAACTACAATCCCCCCCAAAAAAGTGGAATTAATTGGATATATATTAGGAAGAACTAAGCAAGTGCTACTGAATTGCGAGAAATATCATGTTATACCAATCCAGAAAGTTTTCTAAGTCTACTTCCATCGCTGTCCACTGTTAAATCAATGAAAAAAAGTTCAGATTCTAATGAAGACCAAAACTTTAGTAACCTATGCAGAATCAATTATGGTAAATAAATCAATTTAAAATTAAACCAAGTTTTCAAAAAGAAATTGGAATATTTTTTACCCCTTCCCCTAAATAGCATGCAGTTTCTTAATAAACTTCTAGACCAAGAAATGTAGTTCCAGAGAGAGCTTTTTTAATGGCTGACTTATTTTATTTCCCCCTGTAAAAAAATTTTTTTTAGTTAGATTGAGATTGGACAAATTATGTTTTTTATATGCCTAGATTTTAAAAAAGAGTTTATAAATAAAGGTGTGCAAGTGAAGAATGTTTCTCATGTTCCATGATAAAGACCCATATGTGTATGCATAAATAATTTATTTAGGTACTTCAAATTGTTTTTAATATTCATATGCTACATCTTATATGTTCAGCATATAATTTATTTTTGTGTGCTTCTTATAGGGCCTGAATAAGTTATGAATAATTATACAAGTTTTTGTATTTTTTACTCATATTCTTGAATTTTTATATGTTAACTTGTATTGTAATTACTGCTATTAGTTAAAGCACATTAACACTGGTAATCTAACCTGACTTGGGACAAAATATTTTGAGATATTTTATAGTTGAATACAGGCTAACCTCTGTATTAACTTAAATTATGTCTTATTACTTTGCTTATGATTGATTTACTAGACATTTTTTTATTTAACTGTATTTATGAACAAAAAGCTAATTCCTCCCAATGTGACATTGAAAAATATTGTGTTTAAAAAAAAAAAATGTGTACTTAGTTTTTTTCCTCTTGATTACTTATTTTCTTTTCTCAAACAATTAGTTTCATAGCAAAGGAGCTGTGTTTATTACCTGCTAAATTATGACCTACTTTTTTTAAAATTTTATTCTTAGAATTTAGATTTTGTAAAAATATTACAAAAATCTTACATTTTGAATTTTTAGAAATAAAAAAAAAAAAAGAAGTTTGCTTTTAAATTGTCCATTGATTGAAATTTACCAAATTGATATGACCTTATTGGTTAGTGTCGTCATTATGTAGCTATGGTTTATGTCTCACTCTCCCCCATTCACATTTTTATCTCTCGCACATGACACTGTGCATCGGAAATTTTAAAGATATGCTCATCTTAAAATTATTTTCCAATATTGCTGTCGAACTGAGTTTTACGGTTTAACTGCAAAGAATATGATATTTAATAAATAAGGGTA